TCCCTAAGTAGTGCTTTGGTCTAAAAATGGGATCAATGTTAATATGTTTTTGTCTCTTCTTAAGTAAATAGTCCTGGAAATTCTGTTGACTCCTGACAGGAAGGTAAAGTTTGTCAACCGTGTGCTTGGCAGGTTTTTGTCTCACCTCCTCCTGTTCCTGCACTTGGACAGTGGCGTGCCTCAGGGTGTCACACAGCAGGTTACCCACAAGGTGACGCAGCACCTGACAGGGGCCAGCCATGGGGACAATGTGAAGCTTCTCAACAGCATGATCCAGGTCAGGGCCCTGGGAAGCCCCTAAATATACCCTGCTCATCATCCAAACTCCAAACCTGTAGTGTTAACATATTTATGGTTTAGTTAATTCCAATCACTTGGCTCAGTGCCTTTGACCAAGAAGGTCAACAGGTTTGGGCTTTGGAGTGGAGGCAGATATTGTTTGGTTGGAGTTTTAAAAACAGAAGGCTGGCTGTTACCTTCCACATCACCTGAGCCTTTTCTCCACAGGCACACATATCTGTAAGCACGCAGCCCAATGCAGTGGGGCCTGTTGCGGTGTTGGAGTTCTGGGTTCAGGCTCTCATAAGCCAACACCTTTGGTACCGAGAACAGCCTATCCTCTTCCTCATGGACCACTTGTGTAAAACAGCTTTTCAGCTGATGCAGGAAGACTGTGTGCAGAAATTACTCTACCAGCAACATAAGGTACAAAACCTGTTAGAGAATTGGTTTTTCACTCATTGGCTAGATAGTAGTTTTTGAAAAATGCTCCCCCTGAAAGCACAGTTCTCAGTATTACTCTGGCCACTGCCTTTTTTTTTTTTCGGTTTTTAGCCAGGGTTGGGTTTGAACCCGCCACCTCCGGCATATGGGGCCAGCACCCTACTCCTTTGAGCCACAGGTGCCGCCCGCCACTGCCTTTTTAAAACTCTGCCTAATGGTGTCTTATCTCAGTAATTACAGTCCACTAGTGCAGGTTGCAGGGAAGTCAAAGGAGAGGACACCAAGGAAGAGCCCTGCTCATTATTACATTTGCCTATAATGTGCTACCTAGAACTAATGCTAGTGGACTCATTCTGTGTCTTATCAGCATCTTGCATTATAGTAAGACAATTACTGATGGCTCTTGAAAAGGCCAGCAATAAAGTTTTTAAATCCTCCTTTCTGTGTCTTGGTGTAGAATGCTTTGGGTTACCACTGTGACCGGAGTCTGCTCTCCTCTTTGGTGAGCTGGATCGTGGCAGGCAACATAACCCCTTCCTTCGTGGAGGGCTTGGCTACACCCACTCAGGTAGGAAACTCATTGAGAGGACCATTTGTTATCTTTGTGGACTTGAGTCTTGTTATTATCCTTACTAATAAATTACTAATAGCCTAAAATAGCTCTCATCTATTTAGCATTTTATAAAGCTTTATAAATACCCCTTTCCATTTAAACTTTGCAGAAGCCCTCTTCTGAGGCTGTGCTGTGGTTATCTCCATTTTATAGAGGGGTTCACTGAGGCTTAATGGAGTTAAGGGGCTGGCTCAGAATCAGACGGCTCTTGATGAGTCTCCAGTCGGCCTGATTGCAGAGCCTGCCCACAGCATGGCAGAGAGGCTCAGAGTAGGTGCTAGAGTCAGATGGCCTGGGTTCAATTGTAGTTCTGGCATTTATTAGTTCAGTGGCATGGGTAACTTGCTTGGCTTTCTGTCCTTAGTTTCCTCGATTGTCAAATGGAAGTAATGATTGCACTTACATGTAAAGCTTTTAGAATAGTGCTTAGCACATAACCAGTGGCTTTCTTTCCTGTCCCTCATGCATACAGAACTTGCCCAGTAAATATTGTTGAGTGAACAAATGACCTTTTTATGCTGAATTTCCATAGGAATTTAACATTTTCCAATAAGCTACTTTATTTTTTTATCTGATATTTTAGAAACTATAAATATTTGCTGATTGAGATTAGTGTTAGAAAAGGACTTTAATTTGTGGAGTATCTGGATATATTCAGTTTCGGTTAGCTACTCATGCCTGGCACCTTTGCCTTGTGTCATTGTAGGTCTGGTTTGCCTGGACAGTACTGAACATGGAATCTATCTTTGAAGAAGACTCCCAGCTTCGAAGAGTGGTTGAAGGGGAATTGGTTATAAACTCTGCTTTCACCCCTGACCAAGCTCTGAAGGTGCAAATAGCCGTTCTGCATTTGAGTGGTAGAAGGTGGCTTGCACTTTGATGCTGATGGCCTCCACTGTAGCTTTGGGGCTTCTGTGCTTTTCTTTTGTTGTGAATTTATAGAAAGCTCAAAAACCGAACCAGTACCTAAAACTGCGTAATTGAAGTCCATACTTGCTTCTCAGTGTTCATTTAATGAGGGTCACAGCCTAGTAATTGAAGGTTGTATTCATTGTACGTGTGATGGGGCTAGCCATTGGCTTTAGAGCAGTGATTTTCAATTGGTGTGCTGAGAAAAATTTTAAGGATCATTAAATTATTTTTGAAAGAAGTTAAAAGTGCAGTAAGTATATTCCTTTTTTCCTCCACTCTTCTTTTTGATCAATGTAATCTTTTAAGTGTGTCCTGGAGTTTAACTGTAGGTTCAAGTGGGCTGTGAGATAAAAATAGGTTGAAAACCACTGCTTTAGAGCAATTGCAGTGGCATGCATCACAGTCTCCTGGGGAGCTTATTAAAACTTCAGTTACTAGACCCCACCTCTGAGATTTGGAGGCTCTGAGTCTGGAATGGGCCCAGGCATTTCTTTTTCACAACTTCCCAGCTGTTTCTTAGGCTCACTAAAGCGCTAGGAAGACTGGAATAAGGATTTTGATTTGAAGACCTTCTATTTTAGGGTCTATTGTATATACTTGACCTTGGGTTCCAGAGCTTGTCAGGAATTTAGCATTCTTGAATATACTTTTAAAAATCTTCATAAAACAGCAACTCAAAAGTACAATTTTACAAAAGTTAAATTTTTAAAGACCGATAAAGTTTGACAGTCATATTTACTTTGGTTTTTATATTTTTCTGCTCCCCTGCACTATTGTATTAATATATATGTACAAAGGAATTTCAGAAATAGATATGAGGTTAAACTACATGACTCTTTAAGATCCATTGTAATTCTGGAGTCTGTGAAATGTTTTGGCAGGAAAAAAGCTGCCCCACATATCTTGCTACCAAGGAGGGTGAAGTGTTAGGTGGTGGATAAAAGTGAGTTTTTTTTTTGTTTTTTTTTTGAGGCAGACTTTTACTATGTCACCCTTGGTAGAGTGCAGTAGTGTCATAGCTCACAGCAACCTCCAGCTCCTGGGCTCAAGCAATTCTCTTGCCTCAGCCTCTCGAGTAGCTGGGACTATAGGCACCTGCCACATCACCTGGCCCTTGCTCAGGCTGGTCTCAAACTCTTGATCTCGCGCCATCCACCTGACTTGGTCTTGCAAAGTGCTAGGATTACAAGCATAAGCCACCATGATCAACCCTTTTTTTTCCTTAATAAATTGAGAACAAAATGTTTGGTGTTTCATTTAGATAAACTATTTGTAATTATGTTCCTTTTTTGGTTATTCAACACTCCTCTTTTTTTCTAGAAAGCCCAGGCTCAGCTGAAGCTTCCCATTGTGCCATCTCTCCAGAGACTGCTGATTTATCGCTGGGCCCACCAGGCTCTGGTCACACCTTCTGATCACCCCCTCCTGCCACTCATTTGGCAGAAGTTCTTCCTTCTGTATCTTCATCGCCCAGGACCACAATATGGGTATGGGACCCAGTGTTGTAAGTTTCTGTGAATCTGTTTTTGCCTTTGCACTGCTCTGATTCTGTGTGATCTTAGACCGTGCAGTGTGAGTAGGAGTCATTCTTTCATGATCTGTGGCTAGGAATCTCCTTCACACTCTCTTTAACATGTATTAGATTTGTTAGATCCTTCCTTAGGGGAAGTTGGGAGTATCTTCTGGCAGGTCCTTTTACCTTCATACTCAGGGTGGTGAAGACAACATTTTGGGAATCGGCATCGTACCTCAGGAGATGCAAAGGGAGAGACACTGCCTCAAACAGAGGCTACTTGTGTGACTGTTGTGGGGCTGGTAGGAGGGGACCTGTGACGAGTAGTACAGGTGTGAACCAAGCCCAGACTGTGTCTGGCAGCCACTGGGTTGTAACTTGGGAGAGTCCCAACATTTCCACCAGGTATGAAGACACTCTGGTCAGCTGAACTGTCAGCTCTTACCAGCCATTGCTGTCTAGCTCCACCTCAATTCCTAGGTCACCCTCATTCCCTTATCACTCCTTTGAAATCTATAGATGTTGATTCTTTGTCACTTCCGTTTTGTACCAGATTGTGAGTTCTTCAAGATAGATACCATCTTTATTCTGTATCTCTAAGTGGTGACAATGTCATATATTTATTTCTGTAGAATTTCTTTTTAAAACTGCTTTCATATATACCATCTTATTAGATCCTCAAAATAACCTTGGGAATACAAATAATAGATATTATTTTAATGGTGTATACACCCAGCAATAGTAAATTGTCTCACTAATTGCTATTTTATGCCATGTGGAAAGTACATCTTGTGTTGAAAGGTTGTATAGATCTGTACTTGTATTTTTTAGGTTACCCATAGATGGTTGTATTGGAAGAAGATTTTTTCAAAGTCCTGCTCATATCAATTTGTTGAAAGAAATGAAGAGGCGTCTGACAGAGGTGGCTGATTTCCACCACGCTGCAAGCAAGGCCCTCCGTGTTCCAGCAGAGGGCAGTGAAGGCCTGCCAGAGAGCCAGACTGGCACCCCGGCTTACCTGACTTCACCAGAACTGCACACGGAGCTGGTGAGGTGAGCATGGTTCTGCAGCCATTTACATTGTTTGCAGCATAGGCACCGTGCTAGAGCACTTAGCTGTGTTACAGACTGCCAGACGTGATTCTCTTAACCCTGTTGGAATGAACATGGAAGGTGGCTTTGATACAGATCTGCATCTTGAAATGCTTCTCTTTTATGTTCCTCCATAGAAGTGAATCAGCAATCTGTACTCTGTCTAGTGGCTGGAGTCTGACTGATAAAGCAGAGGGCTGATAGCCCCTCTTCTATTTCTTTGTGTAAAAATAGAAATAAACCAAAACAGATTTATCATAGCAGGTAAATGACTATTAAAGCCTGCCAGAATAGTTCCTTAGGAGAAATAAAGGCCCAAAGCAGGGCTGTGTAAGTGCGGTTCATAGATCCTCCTTGGGATGTGGGGATTCCCCTGGGCTACAGGTGGGGTGTCTGGTAATCTCCCCAGCCTCCTCATAAACTCAGGCACAATGTTTGCATCTCCTAGGAGGTTAAGAACTCTGAAGTAAGTTTAGATTCCTTTCATGCTATTCCTTTACTTTTCATTATAAGTTTTCTATAAATCAAATATTAGTCTTACAATAGGACTTAATAAAAATGGCTCTTAAAACTTAAACCTGAATACACAATAGCCTGGTGAGGGAACCCTGCTTTTCATCTAGTGCTGAGGCCTTAGCCTTGCTCTACCTCCATCCCTCAGGGCTCTTTCTCAGTCTCCAGAATGATATCTCCCCTTACCTTACTTAGTTGAGGGGAAACTTATTTTTAACTGGGTTTAACCAATAGTGGAAGGCTGCACATTTTTGATAAGCCAGGAAAGTCTTTGATGTTCCCTTCTGTCTATCTTAAATCCCCCTTCCTGTGGTTCATAAAGTGGTCATCTAGCTCCTGGAATCAGAAGCTAGGAGAGAACCACATTATCCACCTTTTCCTTCTAAGAACCTCAAAATCCGATCCCCATTTCTCTTCCTAGATAGATTCCTGTGGATGTACGGGCAGTAATTTTCCATTTTATTGAATAAAACTATGCCACCTCTGGTTCCCCCACCCAGTAGTTTGTGTATTGCCAGCTATTTCTCTGGTAATACTGCTGCAGACAACTGCTTAAAATACCAGTGATCTTAGCTAAGTGGATTGTGTTCCTTGTAAATATAAAACAAAACAACATAAGATCTGGACATAGTGGCTCAAGCCTGTGCTCTCAGTGTCTCAGGAGGTTGAGGCCTGAGACAGGAGAACCACTTGAGGCCAGGAGTTGGAGACCAGCCTGGGCAACATAGTGAGGCCCATTGTAAAAATAGTTTAAAAAAAAAAAAAAAAGCCAGATGTGATGGTATACCTGTGGTCCCAGCTGGTTGGGAGGCTAAGGCAGGGGGTTTGCTTGAGCCCTGTAATTTTATTGAGGATACACTGAGCTGTGATCATGTTGCTGCATTCCAGCCTGGACAATAGAGTGAGACTCCATCTCTAAAAAAATAAATAGAGGAAACTATATTTTAAAAAAAGTTTTTGTTGGAAAATTGGGACTTTTTCCTTTTTAAAGCCTGGCTTTATTTTATACTTCTTAATGAGAACAGGGTACATACATGCTTGTCACTTTTGTGAATCTTGGAGGCAGGAGCTGGTCATAGAACCTAAAGCTAGCTGGCAAGTTCTTTGCAATGCATAAGTTTAAAATGACTCTTAATATTTTCTCTGAAAATATGCTTATTTGACTGTTATTTTCACTTTTCCAAGCTGTCAGACTCACTGTGACTAAATTGCCCAAGAAAGCAAAGCTCTAAATTCAGATCCTAGGTCTGTGGTAAAAATTACCTCCTCCAGTTATCTTTTCTGTGTACTTTATATTTAACTCTAATAATAGTTTTGGAGCTGGTTCTTTGTACCTTTTGTTTTAGTAATTTTTGAATCAATATTGTAATGATGTGTGACATATCTCCCCTGCTGGACCATGCATTTCTTGGTGGTGGTTGTTGACAACATTATCTGTATTATGGGTTTTCTCTACTCTTATTTAGTGGTACACAGTTCCTAGAAATATAAGAAACTTTATTTGCCTGTACATCTTTTTATATTTTGTATAATTATGTTTTTATCTTTTAGGCTCTTCAATGTATATATATTATGGCTAGAAGATGAGAATTTTCAAAAAGGAGATACCTATATCCCTTCTTTACCCAAGCAATATGATATTCACAGGCTAGCCAAAGTGATGCAGAATCAGCAGGTGAAACTATAACAATGTCTTTTTTAGCACATCTGAATGTAATTTGAATCAGTCATATTCATAATATAATGGTAATACCACTTATTGATAAGGAAGTGGACGGTCACATGGTCATTGTTTCTGAGGGTTTTGTGAGATATGTGATAGTGTATATATTGAAGGGGTATTTGCTTTTGAATCTTCAGCCCCACCATGGCCTCACCTGGAGGGTTGAAGCTTACTCTAGGTCTTTTTACAATCTCATAAACAAACCCTTCTTCTCACTATTTTTTCTACTTTAAATTCTTAACAGCTGAATTAATTACTTATAATTGATCCTCTCTACTCCCATAAGAAGTACAGTGTAGGAGTTTATAAAGTCCATGAATCATATAGGAAATTAATTGTGGGGGGTAGGAGTTTATAAAGTCCGTGAATCATATAGGAAATTAATTGTGGGGGTAAAGAAGGCGCTCACCTTTGTTTAGCTTGGAAGATGCTTACTTGGCAGTGTCACAGTTCTGGTTTCCCTTCTGGAGCCACTTGATTCTAGACTTCAAATGTTCTAAACTGTTCTCTCCCTGACACTTTTGGTCTTTTGGGGGCCAAAACTTCTAATCTCAGCTTTCTCTAAGCTTCTGTAACCATCTCAACCCTGCAGGTGAGGCCTTGGTGGGGCTGAAGATTGGGGACAGGGTGGGGAAGACTTAGCTCTCCCATTCCAGTTCCTTTTTTCTCTTGGTCACAATCTACTGAGCATTGAACCTAACCAGGATGGGATTTAGGCATCTCTGAGAATTGAGAGACTTTCACTTGGATTTGTAAACTTTCTACTTCCTCATTATATGTATATTTCATTTCCAGTAGGTGTCTTTGTCTTTCTACTGCTTTTTCCCCTCTTTCATTCTTCCTTTTCCTTTTTTCTTCTTTCTTCTTCTCTTCCCTTCTTGTCATGAGTATTTATTGAGCAGCTTCTAATTGCCAGGTGCCAAAGATACGAACAGAAATCTGTTATACTTCTTGCCTTCAAGGAGCTTATTGTTAGACAGGAGACTAAACAATTATTACATCTTGTGTTCAAGACTGGGAGAGGAGTTCATAGGGTGCTGTGGGAACATGAAAGAATAGCTCCTGATTCAGACTAGGAGTAGTGTCCTTGGACCTGAGCCCTGAAGAGCAAGTGGAGGTTGGTCAGGTCGAAAGGAAAGGCATGGTGTTAACTAGCAGAAAGATCAGTGTGCAGAGATATGGCAGATGAGAGAAGGGTGCAGGGTAAGGGCTGCCTAGCATCTGGGGGAGGCAGATGAAACCAGAGAGGTGAATGGAGGGAAAACACTAAGGGCCATATCTGTCTTTGTAAAGAATTTGGAGAGCTACTGCAATAGCACAGTAATTAAATAAATAGATGAATTAAAAATATATGGAGAGATAAGTACGTAAGAATGTTGAAATTTCTAACTTGGGCCCCTAAAGATGCTGTTTACAAAGATAAGTAATACTGGAAGTGGAGGCATACAGGCCCTCGAAAGAGAGCTGTCTGTGAAGGAGTTGGTCGGGAGGGGAGAGACAGATCTAGAATTCAGAGTAGGAAGTGTGTGTTTAATGGTAATAGAATATTTAGATTAAGAAGGGACTGGAGATGGACCCTGAAAAATAATAGTAACTTAAAGCACAGAGAAAGAAATCTGACAATAGAGAGCTAGAGAAATAGGGAAAATAAATACGAGGTGACGGTGTCCTGAAATCCTCGGACTGCAGTTCCATGTTCATCTCCTCCTTGTATGTTGTATCCCACGTTCTTATCCCAGGCTTTCATGGTAGGTTAGTGTTTTTACCACCTTAACCGTAGCTTTCTTGGTTCTCTTAGATTTATGCTGGATTCTGTAGATGCTGAGATTATTAATTAATTGCTTTCTTTCTCTGTTTTTTAAAGTCTTTGCTGTATAACTCCTTTTTGATCTGTAATTCAAGCTTGGCATTGTTTTGTATTTTTGGTTCCTAAGGCATCTCTGCTTATATACTGTTAATTCTCGGGGTGTGCTCTGATTGTTAGCGGCTATCAATGGATATTTAGCATAGAGGCAGAGAAGGTGACCTAGTGACCCTATTTCAAGGAGATGCATATACACAGGAAAGTCTGGTATAGCATGTTGAACAGTTGGGTAAATATAAGATTCAGTGTTGTGATCAGGATTTCTTTGAGCTCCTCCTCTGAGTTTGGAATGCCTTATGGTGTGTGGGTGGTTTGGAAATAATGATTTAGGACTTTATGGCAGTGTGCTAATTGAGAAGTTGGGACATTTTTAGGTTTAGTGGGATCCTTGGGCCTTTAGAGCACCTAAAATAAAAAAAGTAAATGATGGTTTACAAATCCATAGTCCCTATTTAATCACTTACTATTTATAGTCATTTTTAGTGTTCATTGGTAATTGACCTTTTTTTGTTTATTAAAGGCAGGTCATCAGACTGAAGTAAATATAGCTTAGAACGTACCATACAGCCCACTGGAGTGTGGGAAGTGAATACTAGAACCTACATAGCTATTTTTTCTCATTTATTTACTTATTTCTATTCTGTTTCACCTTTAATTGTGAAAAAATTCTATCATATAGAAAAATGGGCAGAGTAGTACAATGGGCATGCTCTTCCCCCATCCCTACCACATAGCACGTGTCTGGTCTCATCTGTAGCCCATCATTTCCCCCTACCATATTATTTTTCAGGCAGTCCCAGAGAACATCGACACATAAAGATTTTAAAAGATAAAGATGAAAAACTGACCCCTTAGCGTTTATGTATAAAACATGGGCCTAGGTGTGGTGGCTCACCCCTATAATCCCAGCACTTTGGGAGGCCGAGGGAGGGGATTCACTTCAGGCCAGGAGTATGAGGTCAACCTGGGTAACACAGGGAGACCCCCTCATCTCTGCCAAAAATTTAAAAAAATTAGTTGGGCATCGTGGTGTATCCCTGCAGTCCTGGCCTGTAGGAGGCTAAGGCAAGAGGATTGTTTGAGCCCAGGAGTTTGAGGCGTCAATGAGCTATGATTGTGCCGCTGTACTCTAGTGTAGGTGACAGAATGAGAACTTGTCTCAAAAAAAAAAAAAAAGTATATATATATATATGTATGTATATAAACAATTTCCTAATATCAAGTATCTAGTCAATGTTCAAATTTCCAACTCTCATAAGTGTCATAAAAGTTTTTTTT